ATATAACTAGTGCTGTACAACCTTTGTAATGCAATCTTACCAGTCAACATCATGTCACAAACTTTTTGGTTCTCTCAATAAATTTTAAAGAATTATTATTCACCAAAACAGAGATGAAAAGTTATTGACATCAACCATCTCATGACAAGTACAGATAAGAATTTATTGCAATAACAATGAGGTGAGGAGTCATTTTGTTTTAGCAGATATTACACATGTGGAATAACTAGAGGACAAAAACATTCCAATATTTCTGCCATACATTGTGCATCAATAAAATGCAAAACTCATATAAGTAAAATTATTGATACATGATGCCTGTGAATATGTGGAGATGCAGTGGCACAACTGTTCACAAGCCAGACTCTGGGTCAAGAGGTCCAGTTTCAAGACCTAAATGGGTTATTATGTTGGGAAGGGCACTTTAATTGGTTACAGTACCTCTCTACACCCTGAGGTACATGTATAAATGGGTACAGGTGTTTACTGTCGTGGGGAAGCTGGAAAAATGCCAGGGGGTAAACTGTGATAGATAAGCATCCCATTCAAGGGGGAAAGAAATACTTCTAGTTGCTTCATGCTACCCAAACAGGAATAAGCTGGGGCTGGATGGGCCCCCTGTCTTGAGTGCAGACTTCACCCACCCACCTATCTTGTAAAAATGACATTCTAAAGACACACATACTGCCACATAATACATGTACACAGTGTACTTTAGCTATTCATAACTTTAAGATTTATCTTAGGGATTAAGGTTTCAAGATTGAGATTCAGAGATTTTCCTTTGTATGCATGGAATTGAAAACCTAAAGATGCAATATTGAAACTATGCTATCAAACCATTCAAGAATATCAAGAATAAAATCATGAAATCATACATAGCTTGACCATAGTTCAGCTTGGATAGTCTCCTTTTTCTTATGTCACCTTCTAAGCTCCAATTTTTTCCGCAAGTAATCCCTTAACGAATGATTTTAAATCAAATCCTATCAAGAAGGTTTACGGTTAGATCGCTCCATGGTTAGATCGCTCCAAGTCAGATCGCTCCATACCGAAGTCAGATCGCTCCACTCGAAAGTTAGTTCGCTCCATCATATAAGTTACTTCGCTCCATACATAAGTTACTTCGCTCCATGAAGAAAACTAACGTGGAAGGTTGATAAAAGACAGAAGGATAAGGGAAAAGAAAAGAAAGAGTATTGTAACGCGACTAAAGACTCGCCATTTTAACCGGAGTCGAACCCAGTCTCACTCTCGGCTGGATTTGACAACTTTTAAAAATGGCGATTCTTTGAAAGCAATATTTATAAATCATATTCATTGTTGGTCATTTCTTTTATTTTATTTGTGAACGAATCGTCGATCACTTTATATTTCAGCAACTTGATCGCAAGCAACATCATCAACTATAAACTACAAAGATCAGAAGTAAGTTAGTTTATTAGTTTTCTACGTTCATTACACACTGAAACACTTGTTCCGGCATCGGTAATTCGACCGATCGCAAGACGCAATACACATCATCAACTATAAACTATAAAGATCAGAAGTAAGTTAGTGTATTAGGTTTCTACATGGAGCGAAGTAAGTTATGTATGGAGCGAAGTAACTTATTTGATGGAGCGAAATAACTTTTGAGTGGAGCGATCTGACTTCCGTATGGAGCGATCTGACTTGGAGCGATCTAACCATGGAGCGATCTAACCGGATACCATCAAGAAGTGTGTTCAGCCCCATTAAAATTGTACAACTTACTCACAGGCAGGATTGTCAATAACTCGATCAGATGTTCCTTCAGTGGAGAATAGTATCTGAACATCCCGTAAAACATTAAAAACTGTGCGTATTAAATAACAGAATAAACCAAAAATATCGCAGGCTTGCTTTGCAACTAACAGTAACAGCCCGTGGAGCAGTGCTCACCTCTAGTATTTTACATGACTGTCTCACGTTGTCTCCACTTAAGAGCTTTCCAGCCGCTTTTAAGACACCTTTTCCACATAAACACCATCAAACAGCAGATAACATTCACTAGATCTGAGAAGAGCCACTTTCCCTCCCGTTGTGGTACCACAGTAGGCAGTTCATTCCACATTCAACTAACCATGTGATTTAAAAAGGCCGCCATATTGTGTTTACTTTCTACTAGATCCCAGTGTTTTTCGTTTGTGACGCAAATTGCGTCATGCCACGGCAAACGCGTACAGCTAGATTTGTCCACGAGTTAAAAACCTTCTGTAAGAAATGCAAGTCTATGACTGCACGTGCCTCTGTTGTGTAGCTGTAGAGCATTGCACTAAAAAAGCAATGTGTTGTAAAATGCAGAGGGATTAATTGAACAGCTCCTGACGATGCCAAAAGTGCGATGCCTGCTTATTGCAGGTCCACAGAAAAGGGGTATCACGAAAAAAACCCAATAAAAACGGCATTATATGCCATAATTGAAAACTTAATGAACAAAAACTCGCTCAAGTCAATTTTACATTGATTTCGGGACATAAAAGTGGATTTAATTTTACTTGAAAGATTATTCTTAGTTTTATTTTAAAATGCTCCGATCTAAGTGACCGTGGTCCCCTCATTGACAAGAGACAACGTCCGGCTGAGCAGATGAGGTTTGGACCGGAGACACGGGTCGAAACGAGGTTGGTCACGATTCCATGGGAAAGCTGAGTTTTTATGGAGCTCCCTTGCTGTCGTATCGCGATCAAGCTTATGAATCGCAAAATTTTGTATCCGGTCAAGCCAGCATCAGTGTTTAGTTTGGATGGGTGTTCAACAGATAGGCCCTAACGCCACAAAGAAGACACTTTGATCCTTAGGAAAGAAGGAAGGAGGAAATGCTTTTTCATTGAGACATTTTTTGATTTTCTCATTTTGAAATTTATTGGTTTAGAGGTCTTCCAATAAATTTTCTTATCATGTGACCCACACGGCCCCGCGCGCGTAATCCCATTGAAAACGCTAGTGAGGGCCGGACGTGTTGACTTTAGCCGGTACAGAAAGAGCTGGCCGGCCCTGCAATCACGCGGCTTTGTTGCAGAACTAAAAGAAAAACAAAAAGTTAAAAAATTCGCGTTTTTCGATGAATTGTGAGTTTCTTGTTCTGACTCGAAAAAAACGTTGTTAAGGGACATTTTTTGGATTATTGAATCTTTTTGTGGTTTTCCTGCGTGCGCGCGTCTATGACGTCCTATCTAGTTTGAAACAAAATTTTCGGAATTTTCAAAATTCTGTGGTCATATGATAAAATGCCGATCGTTTGAGTTTGGTCGGGAAAATGGTCAGCGCTCGGTCATGACGCACAGAGACCGGTGCACTCGGTCCGTACGTCATGACCTCGAACCAAATATTTTTCTGTCCGGCCCTCCCACTCAGTCAATAAGTACATATCTTCACATCAACTTGAGTTTAAAAAAATTAAGAAAAAGATCTGAGTAAACTGCATTTTTGCAACCAAACTAATTAGAAAGTTTTTTAACAATGTATTAGTACATCTTAGGGGGTTATGGAGGTTTCGCTTCATTGCCAGTTCGCCCCTACAGCCTTTGCAGGCTCGCCCCAACCTGTGCCTGATCGCCCCCAAATCTTCGAACTCGTTTCCTCAAGGCAGAACATATTCCTTTTCTGAGGCAAAGTCACGCGTGACAAAAACACACACGCTATTTTGAAACGCTAGGCTCAACGTTGCACGGGTGCAAATATCAAACTAAGAAATAAGTACGTTGGTCACTGCATCTGAATATGTGTAGTTCCTATAGAGAGGCCGTTTTACCAGTGTTATGCGGTGGCTGTGAATCACTCGTGCAGTAGTCGTGCGTGCATAATAACGATCACTCTTTATTTAAAGAAGAAATATATGGTTTACAAAACTTCATGTCCTACAAATAGCTACAATGCTAATCTAGGCAGGACAAGACTTTAACTAAAGGCGTTAT